TGTTTATTACAGAGGACTGTCAAGGCTGGGTCATTAAGTATATTCAAGGCTGAGACAGATTTTTAATCAGTGAGGGGATCAAGGGTTATGGGGACAAAGCAGGAAAATGGAGTTGAGGATAATCAGATCAATCATGATCTTATTGAATGGCAGAGCAGACTTGATGGACTGAATGGTACACTTCTACATCAAACGGTTTTTTGGATGAACTGAGACCTACCAACCCTCTTGATTTCAAAATCGTGACATCTAATTTTCATGCACAAAATGGAAGGCTGGTGTTAAATTTCTCCCCAAAAGAGGCTTTGCTTAGCAGAGTGGATGAAGTCTAGACATTATGGGAGTTCAAATATGACCATGGGGGCATTTCAGAACCTGAATTCTGAAAATTAAAAAGGAATTGGCATCAGTAAAAATGACTGGGCAACTGTCCAATTATTGTCTTAAGAAAACACAATTTCACTGATTCTTTTCAGGAAGGTGACCTGCCATCCTCACACAGTTTGAGCCAATATGTAACTCCAATCCTATACCGAGGTGATGATCTCTTAGTTGCCTGCTGAAGCAGCCTAGTTATACATTCAATGGTGTCACTGTCCTTCTCAAGAGCAATTATGAGGGATATGCAATAAACGCTCTCTTGCCAGTGAAGCCCTCATCCTGGGAACAAATTATTTTTGTAAGAGAAGCAACTCACACCCCCTTCTAATACAGAATGAAAGCAAACCAATTTGGCACTTAACTGGAGTATTCTTATTTTTATGAGGGGTTCTGGAGATCGAAGGGAAAGGGAAAACGTATAAGGAATCTGGGTTGTTGCTGCTGGACTTCAGGGAACAATCATTAGGTTATATATATCGAAGGCAGGAAGTAATTAAGTGCAGTTCCCCTGACCCCTGCTATGAGCAGTTGGAAGTGTAGCAAAGTACGAAAGAGTTTGAAGAGGGTTCAAAGCTTTGGCTAAGGTTGAATTTTACTGTGATTGTCATGGCAACCGCAAGCTTACGTGATTTTGAGAGGTTTCTGCCTCTCTAATGAAAATAAAGACCAGCGGAGGAGAATGCAAAGTAGCGGCCGTGGTGAGGGAGATCAGTCAAAGGGGAAAGAAATACACTAACAGAGGATGTGGGATTGTGAGGCACTTCTGGCAATCAATGTGTTCTTGAGTCACACTGTGTGTTTTTACAGAGAGGCCAAGGAATTTTGGGAATCTGTGAATTTCCCACTGAAGCTGATACAAAGCCAAGTCTGAATCTACAGGGAGGATCAGTCCTGTGTCTCGGACCTCCCCCTGCTGTACTGAACACTCAAAGCAAGGAAAGCCATGGATTAGATTCATAGATTAGTCTTACATTTATATAGTAACTTTCCAATCCTCAGGACTTCCAAAATGGCTTTCCAGCTAATTAAGGCAATTTTTAAAGAGGCACAGTCACTGTTGTAAGAAACTACAAAAATGTTTGTGAATTTGGTGACTTTTTTGATCCTGAGATGCACTTCTAACCATTTGTTCAGTCTATCATCAAGACTTCCTGCTTCAACCTTCAAAACCTTACCCACCAACTCTCAATTTAGAGGCTTAGAATCATATAGTACTTTTCATCCCATCAAGTCTGTACTGCCAAATCTATACTAGTCCCACTTTCCAGCACTTGACCTGTAGCCTTGAATGTTATGACATTTTAAATGCTCATCCAAGTGCATTTTAGCTGATCCACAAATCTTCTTCCAAACCTTGTTGCCTACATACTTAACTATTCCATGCTCCAATCTTCCTTAACTTTCATGGGCTTCAATTGATCTGAACTTCTGCTGCCTGCGGTCTAGGTCATCTCAGGTCTCTTCACTCCTCGCCCCTGAGCTCACTCATCCAGCAACACCTCGATGTTAAACGTTTTAACCTTGTTTTCACATCCCTCCATCCTCCTCCAGCCCCGCAACTCTCCTGGGTGATTGTCTAGTCATCCCTTCGCCTAACCAGATTGTTAAGGTTGGGGCCACAATGCTCATTGGTTTGGCCCATACTTATGGGCAAAGTGGTTTGCCATTGCCTTCTGCGTGGACTGAGCAGAAAAGTTGCCCATGCTTACCACCTGTCTCCATGCCTATTGGAAGGATTTACAAGCTGATGATCATTGTACGGGCTGTTTGGGCATGTCGCAAATGCACCGTACATGGCCAACAAGTCCTGGTGCAGTACTGCGAGCCCACAGAATCTGGTCCAGAGGTGGTGCCATTATCCTCTGCACCACAAGATCCCCTGCCCCAGATAACTATGGTCCTCCAATTCTGGCTTCTTGAGTATCCACAGTTTCCATCCACAATTGGAGGCTGTACTTTGAGATCCTGAAGTCTTAGTTTCTGGCATTCCCTCCCTAAAGCTCTGTCTCCATTTAGTCCTTGAAAGCATTTCTTAAAAGCAACCTCTTTGACCCAGCTTTATGTTTATATGCACTAATGTGATTCAGCGACACATTTTATTTGATAATCTTCCTGTTAAGTGCCCTGGAAGGTCACCTTATGTTAAAAAGTGACATACAAAGACAAGTTGTTGAAAAGTAGCAGCAAATTTGCAAACATCAAGCTCTCACATCTCAGTAGTTATGCTAATAGCCATGTCATGTCCTCTTCATGATGTTGGTTAAATTTTGGTTCTGGAATGAAGTCTACTGCTCTTCATTGAAGTAATTGCTAGAGAATCATCTTCCTCCAGCTGAGAGAGCAAACATCAGAGGGTTTGGCATCACCTTTGAAAGGCAATGCCTCTAGAGAAGGTTTTAAACCCACAACCCTCTGACCCAGAGACACAAGTGCTCCCCTCTCAGCTAGAACTCGGGTCCTAACCTACCCATTAAAAAGTAGAGTGACTTGTCCTGAGTATCATTGTGGCTCACTGTTATGCTATGAGTTCACCTGTTCCTCAGAGAAGTTCAGATCAGACCTCGATGTGAACTTATGATCAATATTGATATGACTTAGCAACAGGCATCTCTGTCTCAAGCTGTTTTAGTTCCAACCTTCTAGCAGAGTCTCTCTCACATGGTTACCAAGGTCACAGTTACAACACAACACCCCTCAGATGCTCATTTGCATATTCATTAAATCCTGTCTCTAAACTATTGATCCAAGCAAATGGTACGTTGGCCTTTGTGTTATAAAGAAGCTCAAGTCTAAGGATAGTTCTTCACTTTGCCTTCTCCTTGAACTAACCTATCTTGAGCCCAAACCCAGAAGGCACTATTACATCAGATGACAAAATGCTTGGTCAAAGAGGTAGATTTTAACGAGTGATTAAAGGAGGATTGTGAGCTGGAGAGGTATAGAGAGGGAATCCCACAGACTGGGCCTGGATAACTCAAGGCTCAGCTACCAATGGTGAAGCAATTATAACTGGGGCTGCATGAGGCCAGAATTAGTGAAGTGTAGATTCCTGTCAGAAGATTATGAGGTTGGAGGAGATCATAGAGATAGTGAGGGGTGAGGTAATGAATGGATTTGAAGATAAACATAGAAAACAGAACAATACAGCACAGTACAGGGCCTTCAGCCCACGATGTTGTGCCGACCTATTATCCCACTAAGATCAATCTACCCTGTATATCCTAAATTTTACTGTCCTCCATGTGTCTATCCAAGAGTCGCTTAAAAGTCTCTAAATTATCTGACTCCACTACCACTGCTGGCAGCGCATTCCACACACCCACCACTCTCTGTGTGAGGAACTTACCTCTGACATCTCCCCTATACCTTCCTCCAATAACCTTAAAATTATGTCCCCTTGTAATAGTCATTTCCACCCTGGGAAAAAGTCTCTGACTAACCACTCTATCTATGCCTCTCATCATCTTGTACACCTCTATCAAGTCACCTCTCATCTTTCTGTGCTCCAATAAAAAAAGCCCTAGCTCCCTCAACCTTTCCTTATAAGACCTGCCGTCCAGTCCAGGCAGCATCCAGATAAATTTCCTCTGCACCCTCTCTAAAGCTTCCACATCTTTCCTATAATAAGGTGACCAGAATTGAACACACTATTCCAAATGTAGTCTAACCAGAGTTTTATAGAGCTGCAGCATGACCTCATGGCTCTTAAACTCAATTCCCCTGCCAATGAAAGCCAACACACCATATGCCTTCTTTACAACCCTATCAACTTGGGTAGCAATTTTGAGGGATCTATGGACGTGGACCCCAAGATCCCCCTGTTCCTCCACACTGCCGAGAATCCTGCCATTAACCCTGTATTCTGCATTCAAATTCGACCTTCAAAAATGAATCACTTCACACTTTTCTGGTTGAATTCCATCTGCCACTTCTTTGCCCAGCTCTGCATCCGGTCAATATCCCGTTGCAACCTGCAACAGCCCTCCACGCTGTCCACAACTCCACCAACCTTTGTGTCATCAGCAAACTTACTAACCCACCCTTCCACTTCCTCATCCAAGTCATTTATAAAGATCACAAAGAGCAGGGGTCCCAGAATAGGTCCCTGCGACACACCACTGGTCCCCGAGCTCCAGGCTGAATACTTTCCATCTAGTACCACACTCTGTCTTCTATTGGAATGCCAGTTTTGTATCCAGACAACCAAATTTCCCTGAATCCCATGCCTCCTTACTTTCTGAATGAGCCTACCATGTGGAACCTTATCAAATGCTTGGCTAAAATCCCTATACACCACATCCACTGCTCTACCTTCATTGATTATTAGGATGAGAATTTTAAAGACAAGATCAGGACCCAATGTAAGGCAGTAAACACAGTGATGAAAGGGAGTTGGGGCTTTCTGTGGTTTAACATGTGGGCAGTAGAGTTTAATGTAATAATGTTACAATAAAGATGGCATATAATTGCAAGATGTTGTTGCTTTACTAGGTAAATATTCCCCCAAGTTCTACCCTAATAATGTCCTAGCAAATTGCTGCTGTTCCTCATGGTAACTGTAAAATTGAATTTTCATGGTTGACAGAATGAAACTAAGAATATTCTCTTATGGTTTTCAGCATCTGGTTCCCATGGTCATATTTGAGGACATCCCCCTCTCAATGGAGTCTTTTTATTGCCGGTACGTATCTTTTGGGGATGAAGTGCTCAGACTAAGAAGCAATATTGCTCTTTTTCTGTCTGGCAACCATGTCCGTGGGTTGGAATGTGGGAGTAGATGGTCAATGACAGACTCAGGTCGAGGTATATGTGCCAGAGTTAAGTGCCAGTTAGTGGTGGCGCAGTTCTAATGTCAATGGGCCTGTCAATACAGAGACCCATCCCAAAGCTGCAGGGACACAGCTTCAAATCTAACCATGGTGGCCACTGTTGGATTTTGCATTTAAATAAGTAAATCTGGAATATAAAGTTAGTCACCTGTCATGATGCCATAAAGCTATCATTGATTGTCATAAAAATTAATCTGGTTCACTAACGGCCTTCAGGGAAGGAAATCTGCCATCCTAACCTGGTCTGACCTACATGCAAGACCCACAGCAAATGCGGCTGACTGTTAACTGCCCTCTGAAATGGCTGAGCAAGCCACTCAGATCAAGGAGCAATTAAGGATTGCCAACAATTGATTGATGCCAAATCCCATGAATGACTAAATTGTAAACAAGTTATATCCTCAAGTATTGATGTTTGGTATTATGTCAGTGACACTGAGTTTCTCCTTTTAATCAGAGGCAGAGATCCACAATGATATAATAACTGTTTGTTTGTAATGTCTGTATTTATTCTAGTATACCTACTGACATCCACACTTGGTGAAGGTTCTCAAAGTCAGTTGGAATCGAAAGAGATCATTCTGCAACCTTCTTCCAATATCACTCTGAAATGTTTTGGGAACGGCCACATTGATTGGAGTTATGAGAAAGTCGCCGATGTCTATCCTGATGGCCATTTTCTGCACATACACAGCGCAACAATTTATCACAACAGAGAGTATGTCTGCTCCTGTAATAAAACTGAGATAATTAGCTTCTACGTCTTTGTGCCAGGTCAGTGAAGTTGTTCCATCTCAGTCGGCTGAATTCTCTTCCTTTAACATTAGGCTTCAGGAATGAAACGAGGAAGCAATTTTTCACACAAACAGTCATGGATATCACAGGAGCCTATACACAGGAGATGGCCATTCAGCCCCCTTGAGCCTGTCCCCTATTCCATTCAATTGCTGTTGATCTGTATCAGCTCCATCTACATTGGTTCCAAATCTCTTTAGAGACTTACTATATGAAAATATATGAGTCTTAGTTTTGAAATGTTCAACTGTACGTCTACCCCAGCTTCCAGAGAAGAGTCATATTGGATTTAAAATCGTAACTCTGTTTCTCCCTCCGTAGATGTTGCCAAGCCTGCCAAACTTCTCCAGCACTTTTTGTTTTATTTCAATTTCAATACCATTTTCAAATACAGAGTTCCCCTTTGTGTGAAAGATTGTTTCATGCCATGACCCTTGAACTGCCTAGCTGTAATTTTTGTGTTATTATAGACTTCTCCCACAAGTATAAATCAAATCCAAACTCTTGTGGTACAGTGGTAGTGTCCTTACCTCTGAGTCATGGTGTGCGGGTTCAATTCTAGCTGCTCCAGAAGTGTGCAGGGGCGTCTCTGAACAGGTTGGTTAGAAAATGTCTAAATGCCTTAATTAAATTACCCCTCCATCTCATAACCACAAAGGAAATCATATCTAGGCTGCGAAATCTCAAAATTTTTAACTTGTTGTCATTCTGTTGAATCTAGACTGCATTCTGTCCAAGGCCAGATGTATCCTTTTTGAGACATGGCATCCAGAACCGAACACAGTCATTCCAGACGGTGTCTAAGCAGAGCTTGATATAGCTGTTAACATAGCTGCCCCCTTTGTAGTTCAGTTTTCTTGAGGTAAAGGCCAACATTCCATTAGCCTTGCTATATTTTTTCTTTTTGTAGCCGCACTCTAGCTTTTAGTAATTTCTGTTCTTGGACACCCAAATCTCTCAGCAGCTCCAGCACTCTGAAAGGAAAACAAAACCTCATAAATTGTGTTTCTTTTACAGATCCTGACATGTGGTTCCTCCCACAACGCCCGGACGAAATGATCATCCTAATGGAAAGATCAGTGCCTTTTAACATCCCGTGCCTGGTGTCCAACCCGGATCTCCAGGTCACTCTACTACACGTGGAAACTAACATCCTCATAGACCTGCCATACAACAACAAGCAAGGCTTTTTTGGCAAATTCAATGATGGGACCTATGTATGCAAAGCCACGCTAAACGGAGTGGAACGAGAGTCTGAGGAATATATTGTGGAAACATATGAAGGTAACCCTTATCAAGGATTGTATAGAACATCAAACAGAGCACAGGAACAGGCCCTTCAGTCCACCATGTCTGTACCAACCATGACGCCATTCTAAACTAATCCCATTTGCCTACATACGGTCTGTATCCCTCTATTCTCTGCCTGTTCATGTGTCTTTCTAAATGGCTCTTAGACATTGCTAACGTATCAGCTTCTATTACCTCCAAGTGCGTTCCAGGCACCTACCACCCTCTGCATAAAAAGACTTCCCTCGCACCTCTCCCTTAAACATTTCCCCTCTCACCTTAAACCTATGCCTCCAAGTTTTGACATTTCCACCCTGGGAAAAAGACTCCAACTATGCATTTTATCCATGCCTCTTGTAGATTTACATGCTTCTATCAGGTCACCCTTCAATCTCCAACGCTCTAGCGAAAACAATCCACATTTCTCCAACCTCGCCTTATACCTAAAACACCCCAATCCAGACAACATCCTGGTAAACATCTTCTGCACCCTCTCCAGATCCTCCACATTCTTCCCATAGTGTGGCTATTAGAACTGCACACAGTTTTCCAAATGTGGCCCAACTGAAGTTTTATACAGCTGCAATATGACTTGCCAGCTTTTATACGCAATGCCCCGACCAATGAAGGTAATCATGCTGTACACCTTTTTTACTACCTTATCCACTTGAGTTACCACTTTCAGGGAGCTATGAACTTGCATCCCAAGACACCTCTGTATATCTATGCTCTTAAGGGTCCTGCCATTAACTGTATACTTTCCTTTTGCATTTGACCTCTAAAATGCAACACCTCACACTTGTCCAAATTAAACTCTATCTGCCATTTCTTCATCCAACTTTCCATATCTATAACCTATATCTTTTGATAACCTTCCTCACTATCTACAACTCCGCCAGATTTCATGTCATCTGTAAACTTACTAATCAGATCTTCTACACTTTCATCTAAGTCATATATATATTACAAACAACAGAGGTCCCAGCACTGATCTTTTCAGAACACCACTGGCCATAGACCTCCAGTCAAGAAAACACCCCTCCACAAGTACCCTTGGTCTTCTAAGGCCAAGCCAATTTTGTATTCAATTGACTACTCACTGTGGATTCCGTTTGATCTTCTGGACCAGCCTACCATAAGAAATCCTATCAAATGCTTTAATAAAGTCCATGTAGACAACATCCAGTGCCCTACCCTCAACAATCATTTTTGTCACTTCCTCAAAAAACTCAATCAAGTCATAAGACAAGACCTCCCCTGGAAAAATCCATGCTGTCTATCCCTATTAAGTGTGTCGAAGGGCGTGAAGCTCTGCTGTATTTTTCTATGTTCTATGTTATGTCCATTCTTTTCCAAATGCAAGTAAATCCTATGCCTAAGAATCTTCCCGATTAATTTCGGTACCATTGATGTAAGGCTCATCGGCCTGTAATTTCTTGGATTATCCCTGTTGCCCTTATTAAACAACATTGGCTATTCTCTAGTCCTCTGTGACTTTGCCTATGGCTAAAGAAGATACAAAGATCTCTTTCAAGGCCCCAGCAATCTCCTCCCTTGCCTCCCTCAGTATCCTGGGATATATCCCATTAGGCCTTGGGGACTTACCTACGTTAATGTTTTCCAAGGCACCAAACACCACCTCCTTCTTAATATTGACATGCCCCAGAATATCAGTATACCCCTCCCTACTTTTACCATCATCCATGTCTCTCCCCTTAGTGATTACCAATGTGAAGGACTTATTAAGGACCTCACCCCACATCCTCCTGTTCCGTGCAAAAATTCCTTCCTTTGTCCTTGAGTAGACCTACCCTTTCCTTAGTTCCCTTCTTGCTCCTAATATAGGTATAAATTGCCTTGGGGTTCTCCTTAATCCTGCTTGCCAAGGACATTGCGTGGCCCCTTCTAGCCCTCCTAATTTCTTGTTTAAGTTCTTTTCTGTTTCCTTTATATTCCTCAAGGGCCTTGTTTGATTTCAGTTTCCTAAACGTTCCATATTCTTCCTTTTTCCTTTTGACTAAACTTACAGCATGTCTTGTCATCCAAGGTTCCCAAATCTTGCCATCCTTATTTTTCATCTTCACAGGAACATGCTGGTCCTGAGCTCTGATCCACCGGCCTTTAAAAGATTCCCACATGTCAGATATGGATTTACTCTCAAAGAGTTACGCCCAATCTAATTTCTCCAATTCTTGCCTAATACCATTGTAAATAGCCTTCCCCCAATTTAGCACTTCCACCCCAGGACCAGTCTTATCTTATCCATTACTATCTTAGATCTTACTGAATTATGATCACTGTTCTCAAAATGCTCCCCCACTAAAATTTCAGTCTCCTAGCCAGGTTCATACTCTAATACAAGGTCCAGTATGGCCCCTTCCCTGGTTGAACTGTCTACATTGTTGTTTCAAGAAACCCTCCTGAATGCACCTAACAAATTCTTCTTCATCTAAGCTCCTAGTACTAAGTGAGTCCCAGTCAATGTTGGGGAAGTTAAAATCACCAACAACAACACTGTTGTTTTTACATCTTTCCCTGATCTGCTTACATAACTGTTCCTCCATCTCCTGCTGGCTATTGGGAGGCCTGTATTATAATCCCATCGTAGTGATTGCACATTTCTTATTCCTGAGTTCTATCCATATTGCCTCACTGTATGAGCCCTCTCTCAGTACCAGCTGTGACATTCTCCTTCATCAGTATTGTAATTTCCCCATGCCTTTTACATCGTTCTCTATCACACCTGAAACATCTAAATCCTAAGACATTCAGCTGTCAGACATACCTTTCTCTCAACCAAGTTTGTATAATGGCTACCATACCATAGTCCCATGTACTAATCCAGACTCTATGCTCATCTGCTTTACTTACTCCTTGCATTAAAATAAATATTCTTCAGACCACTTGTTCCGCTGTATTCATTAACCTGGCCCTGTCTATTCTTCCTATTAGACTTAATTGGCTTAACCTCTACCTTCTCTTCAGTAACTGCACATTCTGACCCTCTGCCCTGCTTCCTGCCCACTGCCACACTAATTTAAACCCTCCCCAAGTGGCACTAGCAAACCTCCCTACCAGGAAATTAGTGCCTCTCCAGTTTAAGTGCAACCTGTCCTTCTCATACAGGTCCCACCTGCCTTGGAAGATATCCCAATGATTCAGTTATCTGAAGCCCACTCTCCTACACTAGCTCTTCAGCCACACATTCATCATTTAGTATCTTGTTATTTCTGGCACCACTAACACATGGTACAGGGAGTAATCTCACACATACAACTCTGGAGATTGTGCTTTTCAACGTTCTACCTAACTCCATAAATTCCCTTTGCAGGGCCTCATCTCCCTTTCTGCCTATGTCGTTAGTACCTATATGGACCATGACCTCTGGCTTCTCACCCTCCCCTTTCAAAATATCCTGTGCCCACTCAGAGACATTCATATCTGTAACATCACCCATCGTGCCTATGGAGCCCTCATCCCTCCAGATTTGAGTGCTGCTGGGTGGCCTGCTATCTTCCACTCTCTGTAATCCTGAACTCATCCAAAACCTGTGCCTCCCATGGCCTCAGTCACACTAAGCCCCATCATCCATCGCCCCAATACTCAGTGACCTACATTGGCTTCTGGTCTGGCAGTAGGTCCAAGTTAAAATTTACATCCCTTTTTAAATTGCCTCCATTGCCTCGCTCCCTCTGAACCTATTTCTGTAATCTTGTCCAGTCATCCAAGGTTTCCACACTCTTCCGATTCTGGCCTCTTTCTCATCCCCAGTTTATTTACAGCACCATTAACGGGAACCGCCTTAATCTGCCTGGACCCTTAGCTCAGGAATTTCCTTGCTAAACATCACTGCTTCTCTCTCCTCCTTTAGGTAGGCCCTTAAAGCCAGGGCTTATTTGGTTTTGCTTATTGTCACCAATCCTGACATTTCCTTATCTGCATTCCCTGTCATTGTTCCTGCTGATGCAGGGATCTCAATGTCTGTGTATGGCAGTGACTTCTGAAATGCGTTCTCATGTCAATCACTGTTTATGGAACCTCTAAGTAGCCGCACAACCACTTACAGGAAACTTCATTCTAGGTGGGGCAAAGTTTCTCTGATAACACTCCAGCAAAGCAGCTAACAATATTTTACATTGCATTGACAACAACATATAATCTGTCCACAATGTAAAGACCATTGTCATTTCCCTTTCTCAGCACCTGATGATCTTTATATTGAACTTCATGCTTCAAGCACCGTGGTCAAACTGGGAGAACCCATCAGTGTCACCTGTACCGCAAATACCAACTTGCTGGACTTTAAGTGGAACTGTCCGAGGTTGAAGGTGAGTTTGTGAAAGGTTTAGTGAGTGTTATGGTCCCAATTGTTGGTAAGATCAATCAGATCTCGCACTGAAACCTGATTTGATAGATCATGTATTTTATGTCTTCAATGGGGTTACCATAGTGGTGAAAGGGTACTTGTAGTACAGTCATGTCCCTACCTCTGGGCCAGGAGGGCTGGGGTCAATTCCCATCTGCTGTACTCCAGAAGTGTGTTATGACATCTCTGAGCAGGTTGACTTAGAAAAGATCTCCCACAGTAACCACCCATTGAACATATTGTCATGAGGCTGTTTTTTTAAACAGAATAATACTACAAAAGACACAAAAGAAAAAGCAAGCAAAACCATATACATGTAAGTCAATGTGAAAGAATCTTAACAGCAAAAGCAGTGATTCAAACTTTTACCCAGCAACATCTTTTTCAGATGCTCAATCCTAGGGAAATATCAAACCAATCTTAACTCTTTATTTCTTATTTAAGTAACACTTCCAGTTTTCAATATGCTGCAAGTTTTAAGACTTCTTTCTAGTTTTGATGGCAGGGATTACATTTTAGATCTGACAGGGAAACATTGCTATAAACTCTCAAAACCTGGAGATTCTACAAGCCTAACAAGTTGTCCTGTGGCTAGAATGAAACCAGATCTCTGCACTTCTTCTGCTGGGATGAAACTGGAATCTCATTCTCTGAACTGAACTCAAACAAAAGTGCAAGTGTTTCCTGATCATTTGTTTTCTCTGTATGTTATAAACTCAGCAACTTATTCACATCATCAATTATCTGCACAGCTATCTGGCCAGACATTTACTAAGTCACATGCATTCTTGAAAATGATGTATTTAGGACATTTTGCCAAATGACTTTCTGATCTCATTTAAAAATTCCTTCACATAACCAAAATCAAAATCTGTCCATCTTCATTTTAATATAATCCAAATTCCCAAATGATAATAATGTATACTATACACCTTTAGCATACTCATCATAAAATGTGGAAAGAAGCCATTTGGCCCATCAAGTCTGCACCAACCCTCCAGAAAGCAAACCACCCTGACCAAGCCTCCCACATTTCCCTGTAATGCCACATTTACAATGGCTAATCCACTAGCCTGCACACTCCAGGGCAATTTAGCATAGCCAATCCACCTAACATGCACATCTTTGAAAGAAACCCATACGGACTTGGGGAGAATTTGCAAGCTCCACACAGTCAGTTGCCTAAGGCTGGAATCAAACTGAGGTGCCTTGCACTGTGCAACAGCTTTGCTATCCACTGAGCCACCGTGCCATAATCATTATGTGACAACAGTGAAATACTTTAAAAATAGTTAAAAGTCTTCAGGGAAAATTGACTTGTTTATCAACATAACCAGCTAAGTTGAAAAGATTAAGCAATAATATCTCAAATATATCAGCTGGTTCCAGCAAACATTCCCAGGCCAAGAAAAACGTGGGATTAGGTACAGAGTAAAGTAACCCCTATATTGACCCCATCAAACACACCCTGTGCAAGGAAAGCATGGGATATGAAACAGAGTAAAGCTATCCCGATACTGTTCCTATCAAACGCTCCCCAGACAGGTACAGCACAGGGTTAGAAACAGAGCAAAGCTTCCTCTACACCATTCCACTAAACATTGCCACAGCAGATATAATAGTCAGGGCACTCGCTTTTAGAAATAATGCTTTGGTTCTTTAACATCATCCAAGAAGAGACACTGTTTCATGGTTTAGCATGTTAACTAAAAGACAGCAACTCCAACAGTGCAGCTGTACCTCAGTATTAACCCCACTCCCACAGCAACAACAACAATGCAGCACTCTCTCTGCACTTACTGTCTGAAGTGCAGCACCCTCTGAGTACAGGCCCTCTGACAGTACGGCTCTCCCTCAGTATTGACCCTCTGACAGTGCAGCATTCCCTCAGTACTGACCCCCTGACAGTGCGGCACTCCCTCAGTACTGACCCCCTGACAGTGCGGCACTCCCTCAGTACTGACCCCCTGACAGTGCGGCACTCCCTCAGTACTGACCCTCTGACTGTGCAGCGTTCCCTCAGTAGAGCCTGCAACAAATCAGCACTGACTTCATACTGACCCTCCGACTCTCCCACAGAGCTTCCTTTTCCTTTTATATTTTGCCAGCTGGTACTTCCTAGTAGTAGAATTAAAACCAAAACTCTCTACCCTTACTTGTTCAGGAAGCTCAAGTAACTGTGTCTGATGGGGCTCAGGAAGTGAACTCAACCATCTACTTGGAAAGCGCCACACTGGAAGATTCTGGATGGTACAACTGCAGCGTCACAGGCTACTACGCTCAAAATCAATTTGAAGAGAAGGCTCTGCAAATTACTGTTGTCAGTGAGTAACCTTTTTTCAATGAAATTGGCAGCTTCACTGATATCCCTTCAAGCATGTAGATTGTGGGGGATAGTGGTCAGTCTGGGTGGGAATTATTGTAAATGCTGTACTAGTAAATCTGTCTGGTTATCGATTGAGTTGGCTTGGTTTCATGTTAAACATAAGTTGTTTTACTTTGCCCGAGTTTTCCATCAGCCATCCTGACAGAAGGAAGAAACTAGAAATAATCTTTGTCAGTCAAGATTTGAGCATTGCTGAAAAAAGACACAACTCATCAAAATTTTTCATCTTTCACTCATCAGACAAAAATATATACATATATGTTTTAATTAACAACAAGAATAGACTTCAAAATGTGTCTTTATCTAACAAACCACATATTCTGTATTACCAAACAACTAAAGATTTATTCAGTGTGAATCTGTACAAGTAACTTAACTCTCACCCTGTGTCAGTAAAGTTACAATTAATCAATGCCTCCAACTTTATATACTTAACATCAATGATATCGTTAACAATATATTAGGTTGCTAGTGGCACAGTGGTAGTGTCCCTATCACAGGGCAGGTGGCCTGGCCTTATGTCCCACGTGCTCCAGAGGTGTTCAATAATGTCTCTGAACAGGTTGATTATGAAATATAAAATAATTAACACTGTGGACTCCTGCTTCTAATAGTGATTTGATCATTATGCACTTTGTTGAAATATCCACAATGTTTCTTTCTGTCACATGCAGAATGATCCCAGCTGATGTCAATACTGGACAAGTCAGAGATCAGAGTAAAACTTGGCTTGTTAGGTCCTAATTTTGTAAAACAGTAGAGGTCACTTTCTGAACACGTTCATAAGAGGCTACCTATGTATTTTTAACATGAAGAATAAAATATTTATTAAACGAGAGAAAAAAAATGAAGCTATTTGAACTAGACAAAAATTTGGAAAGATTTCATTACAAATATCAGAAAAAGATTTAACTCGTACTGCCCCTTTCTCTTATGTAAGCACGATCCCTGCAAAGACCCAAAGCTCAGCAAAGATCCACCACCATCTCCACGCTCAGGTTTCTCAGTCAGACTCCAGCTGGGACAGCTGCAATTGGCTTCCTCCCAGCGAATTTCTGTGCAACCGCTGAACATTTTGTCCCTTCACCTAGAGTCTCTGCCTGAGACTGTGCAAGTAATCTACAAACTAAACTCACTATTACTTTAGTTTCAGATCACCTATGTAAGTGCCCTAAACTTAGTGTTCAGCACTTCTACATTTTCTGGCATGCATCACATGACTGACTGACTGATTTTTCTGGATTGTTTTGCCTTTCATCAGATGTTATTGGACCCCTGTCACTAAGCAACAGCACAGTTGTTTTCTCCACATTCCTTTTTAATGCCCTGAACTCTTCACCTCAATGGTTTAAAACAGATCTCCAGGCATCTCATCACCATCATCTAAGTTCATGAATGAAACTTTAAAAAATGACTGAACCAAGTCTTCATCTTCTTAACATACACAATTTAAACATTTTTCCTAAAATGCTGACGGAAGTGTTCAGAAATCATCAGAATGTAACTTAATGATTGGAGACTTTAGATGGGGTAACTTTTTAAAAATTCGTTCATGGGACGAAGGTGTCACTGGTTGGCCAGGGTTTATTGCTCATCCCTAATTGCTCAGAGGGCAGTTAAGAGTCAACCTCATTGCTGTGAGCCTGGAGTCATATGTATGTCTGACCAGGTAAGGATAGCAGTTTCCTTCCCTAAAGGACATTTGTCAACCAGATGGGCTTTTCCAACAATCAGCAATGGATTCATGGCCATCATTAGACTCTTAATTCCAGAATTTATTGAACCTGGATCCCCAGAACATTACCTGGGTCTCTGGATTAACAGTCCAGCGATAATATCACTAGGTCATTGCCTCCCCAGTAAGCACCCTGTTGTGGTTTAGGCAACCAGGGAAGCATACCAAAGAGGATAGTATAACTCGGGCAAAGAGACCACCCACGTTTTTCTGTAGGAATTGGAGAATAAGTTCAAAGGTGGATTCGTCGAATTTAGATCAGTCAAGATGAGAAAGCCCTGTGAACTCAAGTGATCTTTCTTTCATCCCAGAATGAAAGTTCTTGTTAAAATATCCCCGGTCCACTGCAGAATAATTTCAGAGTCAGTAAGATCTCCCATCACAATGACCAGAAGACAAAACACTATCTTTCAGATGTTCCTAGTTTAGACAGCTTTATGTTGAATACTAATGAACTGTAACCCTGTACACCCCAGTGCTACACAAGATCTTAAATGGGGTGAAACCATCTTGAGAATCCGGGCTGTCCTTCTCGGTCAGAGGAAGGTAAAAGGAGTTTTGTTGGAAGTAGTCAAAATCATTCAGCATTTTGATGGGGAGAAGCTGTATTCAGTGGCAGATCAATTAGTAAACAGGGCCCACCAAGTTAAAATAATTGGCAAAAGAATCGGAGAGAAAATGAATAGATATATTTTTCACTCAACAAGTTGTTGTGATCTGAAAGGGTAGTGAAGGTGGGATTATTTGTAAATTTTGAAGGGGAAATGAATCAACACTTGGAAGGAGAATCTTTGCTGAACAGCATAGAGAAAAGGATAGTGGCTGTGGAACTAATTGGGTAACTGTCTAATCTGGTCTATACTGGTCGAGGATAGGCACAATGAATGGCATTATTCTGTGTTGTAATACTGTGTAATGCTTTACAGCAAATGGATTTGTTCATCTCAGCACCAATCTGAGTGCCACTGAGTATGCAGAGCTGTCAGAGGTGAAAATGTTTGTGGTTAATATAACGGCCTACCCAGCCCCCACTGTCATGTGGATGAAGAACAACATACCATTCAACGAAAAGTCCAATCAAGTGACATTTAGCAACAAATCCCTGAGCAAAAACAGGTAAATGTTTGTATTATTTCCACTTGTTCCATACAGTTCGTGGGGCAAAAAATGCACGATAATCAATAATCAATCCAATAGTGAATTCAGGAGAAATTGTTTTTTACCCAAAGATTGGCAAAAATGTGGAAGTCGTCACCATGGGGAGTAGTTATGGCAAACAGTATAGATGCAATTAAGAGGAAACCGGATAAACACATGAGAGGGAACAGAATAGAAGCATTGCAGAGCTATGGAGAAAGAGTGAGGCAGTAAATCGCACTTTCTATGAGAACGGTCTCATACTGACTTATAAGATTCCACAATGTTGAGAACGCTCTTCCTACAAAGACTATGGATGCTTGGTGTTAACAGGAGCTTTCAAGACTAAGATTGCTGTATTTTTTTGTCAGGGTATTGCATTCTAAAAATAATATATTTGAGGGGAATTAACACTCACCTCATGGATTCAATCTGACAATGGTTTTACACCTGCATAATTTTATGTTCCATTGAAATCCACAAATGGTAATGGGGGTAGGGTGCAGAGGTCTTAGGCACACTGGTAGCATCGCTGCCTCGGTGCCAGAATCTCTGGATTCAAGTCCCTGCGGAACATGTTGACACCAAAGGAGTATTCATGATGCAGTTGAACAGTCTGATCAGCCTGCAAAGCCTTTCACCATTTCCCCTCTGTACGTCAAAGGGAAGATAACGTACATGAATATGTTGTGAAAGGTAAAAAGAAGTGGACAGGGTAACAATGGGGAGAGAGAGTGGACAGAAAGGAATCAATAAAGGGCATTGTTGGTAATTCCATCCCAGTCTGCACGTTTCCTGCCCAGTGAGTTAAATGTCTCCCTTTGTATGGAGACTGTGGAGAAGTTTGAGAAAGGTAACATTGTAATCAAAGTATGTCTTTAAGTCTCGGTTAGAGTAAACTGTTTTAATCTCGGTCACAGTATCCTATCCCTCTCCTGCTAAATCCTCCATTATCACACTAACTCATATCATTCCCTGCCCTCTCCCCTCCATCACCAGGTATCAGTGCGTGCTCCACCTCATCCGTGTGAAGGAGGAAGACTTTGGGAATTACAGCATTCAAGTCTGGAATGCTGACAGCAAAAAGGAGTTTACTTTCTCTTTAAGAGTAAATGGTAAGAAATTTACACTGCTTCGCTGTGAAAGAATCCATTACCTTTCACAACTCTGGCTGCTAGGGGGAACAGAGATGGTGCCTCTCCCAGGGAAACATAAAAGATACCCTCACAGTTTATTATAGAAGTGCCCTGACTCATGTTCATTCTTCAAGCAATTACCATTTAGCACAGAAAGAAGTGGCCTCTTGGCCATCGCTGTTGGTGATGGTTCTTTGAAGAGACTATCCAATTAGCCCCACACCCTCTTCTTTTCCCATAGTCCTGCAAACTCTTTCTCTTCAATTCTTTATCTTATTCACTTAAAACAGTATCCAGCAGGGAAGAGGTTGTTTATCACATTACACTTTGTGGGATCCTACCATGCACAAATTGGCTGTTTAATTTCCTTGATTATGTTGTCAACAACACTTCACAAAATACTTTATTGTGAAATGATTTGCAATGCCGTGACCTCTAACACCAAGACTCACCTTAAAAAATACACTGGCTGCAAAAGCAGGCCAGAAGCTTGGAATATTGCAGCATGTAACTTACCTCCTCACTCCCCAAAGCCTGTCTGTCAGCTACAAGGCACAAGTCAGGAGTGTGACAAATGCTCCCCACTTACCTGGGTGAGTGCAGCTCCAACAACACTCAAGAAGCTTGACACCATTCAGAACAAAGCAGCCCGCTTGATTGGCACTGCATTCACAAGCATCCATTCCCTCCACCACCTACGTTCGGTAGCAGCAATGTGTTTCCTGTGGGTGCTCCAGTTTTGTCCACAGTCCAAAGATGTGCAAGGTGGTTGGATTGGCCATGCTAAATTGCCCATAGTGTCCAGGGATATTCAGGCTAGGTGGGTTAGCCATGGGAAACACAGGGTTACAGGGATAGGGAAAGGGATGGGTCTAGGTGGGATGCTGGTCGGTATGTCTTGATGGGTCAAATGGACTGTTTTCACACTGTAGGGATTCTATGATACTCTCTACTCGCCTGAATGGGTGCAGATCCAACCAACACACAAGAAGCTTGACTCCATCCGCGACAAGGCATCCCTTTTGATTGTACCACGTCCACAAACATCCATTCCCTCCACTAATGACAGTCAGTAGTATCAGTGTGGATGAGCTACAAGATGCAGTGCAGAAATTCACCAAAAATCTTCAGAGAGCACCTTCCAATCCCCAATCTCTGACACCTAGAAGGACAGGGGAAGCAGATACATGGGAACAACACAATCCACAAGTTCCTTTCCAAGCCACCCACCATTCTGACTTGGAGATATATCACTGTTGCTTCACTGCAGTGGTTGAACAAGACAGGTCATCACTACCTTCTCAAGCAACTAGGGATGGGCAGCAAATGCTGCCCTACAACTGCGGGATTATTTCCCTCATTCAACCTTCCCTCCAAACTGTTATTCTGTTACCCCTCTGTTATTCTCCCCTCCAACCTGTCGGACCCCTCCATCAATCTTCCCTCCAAATGTGGGACCACTCCATCAATCTTCCCTCCAGACTATGGGACTCTTCCTCTCCCTGACTTTTCCCATTAGTTCTACAATCCAGGGTTTTGTAAAAATACCAGATTTTATGTGAACTAAGTGAATCCTGCTGATTCCACCGCTGCTGTTCTCTGCACATCAAGCTTTAAACAATCTCATCAGTTTCCGAGTCCAGAGAATTCAAAAGGAGAAAATAGAGAGTAATATATAACGAGAATCTAAGACAGTGAATGGGATCTGATATGTTGGTTTATCATTCCTCTTGCCTTTCCTTTGACACACAGTGCCAGCAAGGATCCTGGAACTCAACGACTTTCACCAACCCAGTGGTATCCAAACTGTGACCTGTGTTACTGAGGGATCGCCTTTACCAGAAGTCACTTGGTATACATGCCATGACCTAAAAAGGTAAGCAAGTTTGAAAATTCCCAAGTTATCTGCTATTTGACTATCAATTGAGAAAGACAAGGGCGAAACAGACAGATGAAGTAAGAAATACCAAGCTCCCATCTAAATCCTGAACTGGACAAATACCAATAGCTAAGTTTATCATCAATGGGTCAAAATCCTGGAACTCTCTCCCTAATGGCACTCTGGGTGTCCCTACATCACACAGACTGCAGAAGTTCAAGAAGACAGCTTACCACCACTTTCTCTTGGAGAACCTAGGAATGAACAATAAATGTTGCACTTGCCAGAGATATACACATCCTGAGAATGAACTTAAAAGTTCTGCTGTTCCAAGGCACTGTAAGACGTTTTGGGGTTAGACAGTGTACCCTCTCCTCTTTCTAGCCCACAACACAAGGCACCTGGGGTAAAGTTGTCACGGTTTGCAGATTCTACCAAAATTCCCTGCTCAGACTGCAGGTCATACATGTTCAATCTTCTCATAATTGAATTGGGATAAGGAGGAAGAGAACTTTGACTAGAAATCCCTATCCATGGGTTTCTCTTTCTCATGTTTCTTTTGAAATTTGCTAATAAAATTTATTTCTTAATTTTATTAATCACATGTACCCAAATGATACCAGGGCCAAACAGGTTAAAATCAGAGGGCAGGTTGCATATCCTGGACTTGTATTCCTTCATGTTTAGCAGGTTAGGATGCAGATTTAATTGAGGTGTTTTAGATGTTGATAGAATTGATTGGCTGGAAAGAGAAAAACACTACATTTTCAACAGTAGTGCAGAATAAAGAGACATTATTTAATACTCAGAGCCAGGATGTTCAAGACAATCTTTTCACAAAGGTTCTCGGAAATTTTGAAAGTTTTTAAAAAGAGGGTCAGTTGAAAAATTTAAAACTGAGAATGATCATTTGTGTTAGGGTAAGGGTATTAAGGATAATGGAATGAAGATAGGCAGAAGAAGTTGAGATACAGGTCAGCCATGATTGAATTGGATACAACATGGGCTCAAAGGTTGGAATAGGCCCTTCCTGGTCCCTGCTCCTTTGTTGAGCTTCTGCCAGCTTGTGTTAGAGGGTGTGCTGAGCATTGGCCATTCTTCCTTAGATCCAACTTACCTCAACTACAGTCATTCCCCTCCCATGGAATCTGATTAATTATTCCAGGTGCAACAATAAGGTGGGGAGGTGGACTCCACTGAAAATCAACTCGAGTGGAATCCAGGTGAAGAAACGGATCTCTGAGCTGCCAGGAAACCGAGTCTTCCATGTAGAGAGTGTCCTAATTCGGAAGAATTTGGATGAAACTGCTGCGATGCGCTGTTCTGCCACGAATGGCTTTGGGATCGTGAGCCGAGATGTCAAACTTATTTCCCATGGTGAGTACAATACTCTAGGCTGGGAATAGGAATGGAGATGCCACAGGCTGTGGGTGGGGTGGGGGGGACCGAAATGGTGGAGTGGTAAGGAGAGATGGCAGGAGAAAACAGAGGTGCGAAGAGTAGAGTGATAGATCACAGGGACTAGCGAATAATGACAGACCTGGAGAGAAGGAATGGGTCAGCTCCCACTCACAAAGTTGGAATACCAAGATCTGAAAGTTAAATCACAGCCATACAAAGCTCTGGTGATATCCCATCTGGAATTACTGCATTCAATTCTTGACTCTGGACCTCGGGATAGATATATTATCCTTTGAGGGAGTCCAGTGCAGTTTTACAGGAGCTAAAAGAGTTGCTTTATGAAAGCAGATTGTATGGACATGCCACCTTAATGTAACTATGGAGTGTGCAATTCTTCATCTTCCTCATGTGGAACTGTCTGGCCTCCAATTGGCAACTATCAGCAGCCCAACTGGGGTCACTTATGTTGGATAGGAAGAAGAATGACACACCCACATCCCAAAATCCTGTGTGAAAATGTCTGACAGTGAGTAGTAACACAACTCATTGTTTGGTATTGTGGCCCCAGACTTAACAGAATGTCATTGTATAGATTCTATTGCCAAATATAATTAAATATTGGGTGTGTGTTGTGATCCCAATGCTGTGAGACTAGGTATAAATGATAAAAGTCTCCATATGTCATGATGATCTTCATTGTTTGAACAGATACTGAACTCTCTCATCCAATCAGTGTTTCTAACCATTTTTATCCTTTATGTGTGGCCCTTGTGGGTAGATCAGTGCCTGTACCCATACTGCTCCAGAACAGAGAACGCAGTGTTTGATACCGAACAATAATGGGTGAGGTTCCTCACCAAAAAAGCAAAATGATAAAATTATCCAAATATTCAGGCCTTTCAGTGATTCAGTGAAAGTAGACCTCTTGTTTCTAAACCAGTCAGTTCTGAGTTCATGGCCTACTTTGGAAACCTCAGTGACTATTCCAGGCTGACACTCCAGTGTAGTACAGGGAGAGTGCCGCACTGCCTTTAGAATGAGTTAACAAATATTCTATCTGCCCTCTTATGTGGATGATCCCATGGCTGCTGGTTGAAGATGAGTCGGTGTGGTCTCCCTGCTGTCCTGGAGCTAATATTTAGTCCACAACCAGTGTTGCACAGGTTCTTGGGAAAAAGTTGTTATTTGGGCAGTTTGCTGAGTGCAAATTGAGCTGTCCCATTTTTGATATTACAACTTTAGCTGAAAAGTATAGCAGGGCGTTTGTGCATGCCATCAATGCAAGATTTTTCTTTTCTGTAATGTATATCTCCCTGTGTTTCATAGCACAGAACCACTGTTGGTCATTTACAACATCGAACAAACTTCCTTACGGAGTGAAACAATTCATCTTTCCCAATTGTTCCTCCTTTAGGTATCCAGTCTCAACTGGTCACCGTGGCCACCATCCTGGTTTTGTTGGTCATCATTGTCATCTCATTAGTGGTCCTGGTTGTGGTTTGGCGGAAGGTAGGAGATTAATGTTTAAAAATAATGAAAATGAGCAAACTCACTAGACTTGACAATGGCTAGCCTTAACCCTAGCCATAATCCTCAGCGCAGTGAACAACCCTTCTGTGGCCTCTAACTTTCAATTCCTCCCTCCTCTACCCTATCCCTTTCTCTCACTCTAGCTCTGCATATGGCTCTTCTTTTAACCTTACTCCCTGTCTCTCCACGTTCCTCTTCAGTTTATTATTCAGTGCTCCCACTGTCTATCTTACATGGTCCACAAGAGATTTGATGGGTCAAAATGACCTGACAGTTCGGGCATGGCCCACATGTTTCAATGTCAACTGCCCAACAGACAGTATCATGGGTTAGCCACCTATGCCCACATGCCCTTCGTCCACTCACAACAATACATCCTGGCAAAGAACTTTGACACAAGGACTTGTTTTTCTTTTAAAGTAATGCCACTTGAGATATCAAGCTCATCTCAGTAAGGCCAAAAGCATTGGAGGATGTTTGGCAACTCCTTTATCATGTCAGACCCTCCTTTTATAGATACTTTCCCAATCAACCTATTAAGATGCATTTTAGCACATCTCTGGAACAGGTGGGATTTGAACCCAGGCCTTCTGACTCAGGGGTTGGGGAACTATCACTGGGCCATAAGAGCCCTCTGACCATGCTTGGATTTATGTCTATAACTAGAAGTGCTCTTACACACTGTTGTTTTTCCCATCACCAAATCACCCATGGTGATTTTTTTCGTTGATTAACCATCACCAGTAAATCACCCGTATTTCCAACTGATCAATTTACATGCAAAGCCCATTAGGTGTGCAATGCAGATCATCAAAGGGGAGGGAGAAGGGTAAGGGACTAAATCAAAATGGGGATAAAAGGGCAGGCCATCCTTCTATATTAACATTCCACAGTGTCTTCAGTTCTGGGTCATTATCTAATTCCAGTTGAAGCTGCACATACTCATGTTGACCAAAGTGCAGCAGACTGGTTTTGAGCACATCTTCCACCTGATGTCCAAGCTAACTCTTGTAGATCCAATGGAATGTCAGCAGTGTCTGCATCCAAAACACAAACTGAAAGAACTGTGGATGCTGTAAATCCGAAATAAAAATAGAAATTGCTGGAAAAGCTCAGCAAGTCTGGCGGCATCTGTGAAGAGAAATCAGAGTTAACGTTTCAGGTCAAGTGACCCTTCCTCAGAACTGTTCTGGGAAGTTCTGAGGAAGGGTCACTCAACCTGAAACGTTTTCTCTGCTGCCAAACCTGCTGAGCTTTTCCAGCAACTTCTATTTCTGTGTCTGCATTCATATTCGGGACAGGCATTTTTCTCCACGTATTCGAGCTTATTTTGGTGCTAGGTTTGCAGCAAATGTCAAAGTCATATCCCTGTAGTTTTACCAGAAGTCCTTGTGGTAAAAGGTAGTGCACTTGACAGTGGTTGTACTGAATCATTTCCTGTGGTTCGTAATCTGTTCCCAGAGTGAATTACTGACTTAACAGGTACATATGGAATCCTGCGATGCCAAATATTAGATCAACTGTTTCATGTTCTAGTGGGAATAAATCCTTACAACTGACTTTTGGATCTAAAAACAGTTCCTTTGTAATCTTGCGTGATGAATGTTCTTAGCCTGATCAGTGAAACATTGAGTTTCAGGATTGCCCTTGCGGAATTGTAGTACCGCAGCGTGCAGTTTTCTGCTGAATGTGTCTGTTTGTGAAATTTGAACATATGTTGCTGGCTCTTCCTGCCATACATGTAAGTTCTTCTTTAGGGGCTCTCTCATTGATGATGTATTGTCAGAAAATTTGGGAATGTATTGGTCCAAGAAAGATCCACGCCACCTCTGCTGTTCTACTTTGTCTTGTGGAGTAGGCATTTGTGACATTTCTTCAACTTTGCCTGGGTCAGGACACATTCTACAACCTGATTATATTGAAAATATTGATTTAACTTGCATTCACCCAACACTTCTTGAAAATGAGCAATTGCCAATAGGGTGTGAACATCCCGATCATGTTCCCTGCTCCTATGATGCTGCTTGGCCTGCTGTGTTCATCCAGCCCTGCACCTTGTTGTCTCGGATTCTCCAGCATCTGCAGTTCCTACTATCTCCGATCATGTTCTTCTTTGGTTTTGTCAATTAACGCAATACTAATCATTATGCACAAGCATCCAGGAATATTTTCTACAAGTCTGTCCAAATCATGCTGGAATAAACCTTAACTGATAGACAAACCAAAAGGTAGTCATTAGAATCAATACTTTCCAAATGGTGTTCCAAATCTTGAGATTCCATGGTTATTGCATTGCTCAGTGTGTGGTGACGCGGTGGCTCATTAGGTGACTGTCTGTGTGAAGTTTGCACATTCACCCCGTGTCTGTGTAGTTTCCTCCAGGTACTCCAGTTTCCTCCCACAGTCTAAAGATACACAGGTTAGGTGTACTGGCCATGCTAAATTGTCCATAATGTGCAAGCTAGGCGGATTGGTTATGGAAAATGCAGGGTTACAGCAATGAGGTGACTCTGGGTAGGATACTCTTTGGGGAGTTGGTATAGACTTGATGGGCCAAATGTCCTGTTTCGATATTGTATGGATTGTATTGACCAATATCCATGTTTTGCGTCCATGTTGGAAAAGAATTCAGTTCCTGTGAACTTGGGATTCAATTTCTTTCTGGACTTTAAGGGGAGCTTTGGATGTCTTAGACCTTGCCATACCTTTATTGTACTTTCCTTCTTTCATATGCAAATAATTGTACTGCACCCATCTGTGAAGTGATCCACATAGCAAATGATGCCATTGCATTCCATGTAATCCAGTTCCTGCTTAATCTTTTCTTGTATGTGAGCAGTGCACTCTCTGGGAACATTAATTGATGGATTGCATCTTCTGTGGGGTGCAAGGTGGCATTGCCTTTTGAAACTTCATGTAGTGATTTCCATGAGATAAGCCAGGTGGACCTCATAGAATAAGAGTTCCCTGACTGGGGCTGTTAATCTGGCCCAGTCACAGGCTGACAGATATAAACAGGAATGTCAGAGGCTCTGTTCACTCTGAGAGCTGGCTCTGACGGAGCGGGATCAGGGTCAAGTACTCACCACATGTAAATGAAGGGTGACTTGGTGATGGGATACTGGCTTCTGTGGAGTAGTTTCACTTCATGTAGCAGCAAATCTGGTTAAGTACAATGGGTGTAAATCCTGGACTGATTCAATGTGGTCATTTTGGAAGACTTCAATAGAAATTAAGGAAATCACCAACTCCATTATCTGGTCCAACAGTTCAGCCTTTGAAAAATTTCATTCATTACCCTTGTTTATGGCATCTACTGACAAACAGATCCATTAATTCTTGTGGTTTTGCCTGTGGGGCATCAATTCTTAGCAAAGAATTCTAAAGTTGGGTCTTACATGCAGCTGATCTTCTAGCACTTTCCAAATCTTTCTGGCCCACTTCAGATAACTCTGATGTATTAACTCTGTATAAGTCCTTGTTACCAACTGCAATGAATAACATTTCAGCTTGCCTAAGCAGTTCTTCATCTCCTTGCTTGGTGAAGTATAGCTGAATTCTTTGGTTCAAAAGTTTGAACTCAGATGAGAGATTCATGGCTTTCCAGTTCAGTGGGAGATTTAGTATTATTCCTTCTGTTGTTTTTATAAATTCACATTACATTTAACTTAATGCACTCCTTCTGTGCTTTCAGCATGATGTTTAATGTTCCTTTATAAATATCGGTTTAAAACTTGTTTTAAGGTTTGTTCAGTTGGTTCTGCTGTGTTCCTGAATGCAGTCTGCTTTTATTATTGTTCAAATCTAGCCTTGATTTTTCTTAGTTCAGACTCCAGACAACCTTTCAAATTTGAAATAGATTCTTTCTATTCAGTCATGAGATGAGGGCATCACTAGCTAGGCCAGCATTTATTGCTCATCCCTAATTGTTCAGAGTCAACCACATTGCTGTGGGTCTGGAATCACATGTAGGCCAGACCAGATAAGGATGGCTGTTTCCTTCCCTAAAGGGCATTAGTGAACTAAATGGGTTTTTCCTGACAATTGACTCATGGACACCATTAGACTCTTAATTCAAATGTATTTTTAAATTAAATTCAAATCCCACCATCTGCTGTGGTAGGATCAGAACCCAGGTCCCCAGAGCATTTACCTGCATCAGCTTATTAACAGTACAATACCACTAGGCCTTCACCACTCCATGAATAGGTGAGTTTGAAATAGAATCATCCGTCTGCTTGCCTGAACCTAGCCAACTCGGATACTCTCAGTTTGTGAATAAATCTTATTTTTCTCCATTTCTGTACAGTGAGGACTTGTGGATCATTGTTATGTTTTGATTTCTGTTGCTCACCCTAACCTTCAACCTTATAATCCTTCTGTCTTCTTTGTTCTGTAAAAAGTCCCAGCTGGGCACCTTGTGGTAACATTCTTTCATTATCTAAGTGTAACACAAATGAGGTACGTAGATTCTGTTTGCTAAGCACATCTAAGCAGAGATGGATAGATTTATGATGACCAATGGCATAAAGGATTACGGAGGTACTGTTAATAAAAGGCATTGAAGTGTACAACCAGCCACAATCGTATTAAATGGTGGCACAGGTTCAATAGACTGATTGACCTATTTCAGTTACTATGCGCCATTGCACTTGAAGATATTTGGTGAATTTATTTACTGCTAAACTGATGTATCTAGCACAGGGTAATCTGCAGAAAAAGTGCCTGAGTGCTTCAGTTCAGAGAGTGTGTAGTCGTATGTGTTTGGCTCATTTGCAAGTTAAACTTCACAAAGGAATATTTCTTTGGAATATAAACACGAAACACAGCAGCATTCATACAACATCGCTCACTAAAACTATCATCCACTGCACCAGATAGCACCTCCCTCTGGTATTATCCCTCACCGTGCCAAGCACAGCGCCTCCCTCTGATATCATCCCTCATTGCACTAGTGCAGCATCTGCCCCTCCACTACTGATATTATCAGTAACAAAATCAGTACATTGCAGACCAGTAAAGTCATTTCCTCATGGTAATATTTTCAAGAGCAAGAACCTGGTTTAAAGCCAGTATTTCAGTTCTTTCTGATTTGTGAGTGTAATGTTAAATGACAAGAGGTACTTTGTTTAATTTGATACCAATGCTAGTGATAGTCAGCTGATCATTCCAAAATGTTGCAGAAAAATTCATTATTTCAAGAACAGCAGGTTTCAATTCTGGCTGAGAGCCTCTTCAGGACTGACTAATGAAAAACACATTTTTTTTCTTTTCCAGTTAAAGGCACTGACTCTCACATGTGTTCCAGTCCCACACACACTCACTCTCACTGGGGTATGGGGTCCCACACACACTGACTCTCACTGGGGTACAGGTTCCACACACACACTCACTCTCACTGGGGTATGGGGTCCCACACACTCACTCTCACTGGGGTATGGGGTCCCACACACACTGACTCTCACTGGGGTATGGTGTCCCACACGCTCACTCTCACTGGGTTACAGGTTCCACACACTGACTCTCACTGGGGTACACGTTCCACACACTGACTCTCA